TCAGCAATCAGCATTTGTTGCTTTGGGAGTCCACACAATTTCATTGCAACATTTTTTCCAAAAATATTAAAATGATCATCTCGAACTTGTGATTTATTAAAGTGATCTTTCACAGTTAATAAAATTTCGTTAGTCAACAATTCTTGATCTACTCGACTTTGTTTAGGATGATGGCTACATCGCGTCTGTACTGGAGTATCCAAAAGTTCTGTTAAATTATCATCCTGTGTTGTGATTACTGATGGAGTAATAATAATAATATCTTTGCTATGATTCTCCTGCGTTGTATTATGTGTAGCGTATTCCTAAAATAACAATTTTATTAATGTAGTAAAGGGAATTGATTGTCTTTTAATGTATTATTTTATGTTAATTCTATTAATTTAAAAAATTAAGTTATTTATTCTTTTTTCTTTTCTTTTTTAGTTTTCACGAACAGAAAGAGAATGGATGAATATAGTGAAACTTTTTGAAGAAAAATGGAATTTTCCGCATTGCCTCGGAGCAATGGATGGAAAACATATCAACATTATTCCTACAAGTGGAAGTGGATCAGAATTTTATAATTACAAAGGAAGACACAGCATGGTTTTACAGGCTATTGTGGATGCAAAATATCAATTCATCATGTGTGATTTTGGTACCAGTGGTAGAGTTTCAGACAGAGGTGTTCTAAAAAACAGCAAGTTTTTTGAAAAACTTGAAAACAATAAGGTAAACATTCCTGTTGAAAGTAAAGTCAGAAACAGTAGTAGAAGTATGCCCTATGTATTTGTAGTTGAGAATGCCTTTCCTTTGAGGGTAGACATGACGAAACCGTTTTGACAAGCTGATCTCATTTCCCAAGATAGGAAAATATATAATTATCGCGTATCATGAGCAAGACACATTGTTGAGAATGCGTTTGGTATTTTGGCATCAAAATTTCTAATATTTCATACGGCAAGTAATTTACAACCACATAAAAGTGAATCAGTTATAATGGCTACTTGCATTGCACAACTTTGTAATGAAATCAGTACCAGATTTTTATTCTCCTCCAGAATGTTTCGATCACAAAAATACTGATGTCGGAACTACTATTTTAGGATATAATACAGAAGACTCAAAAATGGTTGGATTGGTTCGAAATAATCCTGGAAACACGAGTTTTTGGCAAAAAAGCGAGAGAAGAATTTATGGATTATTTTGTAAATGAAGGCCAAATTCCGTGGCAATTCAACTTTATTTAAACATTATCAATGTTGTAATTGAACCAAAAATTGTATTGCCATTAAAATAATAAAAATTTTGTACTTTTAACTCTGCATATATACTTAAATCAACAATTACATATTAATTTATTTAACAATATTTATATTTCAATTTTTTTTCTTATGACAGAAAAGACACGAATATAACTATTATATTAAAAAACAAATTCTACAATATTTCAATGTCAGTATCATTATCACTATCTATGTTGGAGCGGCTGCTTCGAAGTGTATCTTGGTCATCTAAAAACCTAATTTAAATTTAAAATACAAAGAACTAAATAAATTGCTTAATTTTTCATCTTATTTTATTGTTAAAAATTTAAACTTACCTTAATAATTTGAAGTACCACAACTTTGGTATGTATATCTCATCAGTTCCTGCTCCTGATTTGATTGATGCTTTAACTTTTTTTATTTCTTTTCTGTATGCACTTCTGATGTTGTTTATTTTTTTTATAATGCTTTCTTTATTAGCCTTTGGCTCCATTTATTTTAGTTTTTCAATTAAATGGAGATGAGCAGCTTCTTTCTTGCTTCTCTCATGGTATTCTTTATTTTTAATATGCCAAAGGCATGGTTCACTCTCGTAAATTTTTAAAAATTTCTCCAAAATTTCATGTGACATTGTTCTAACTACTCAGCAGTCTCACAACTGAATGATACGATGGCACCCATGTTAAGGTTGGCCTGTGCAGAAAAATCAAATGGTTTTTTGATTCTACTCCGGTGGTCGGTACAGTTTGCCAAAACTATTAAATTTTCCCCCCCACACTACCAGGAATTACTCAAGGTCAGGCATGCATGGTTAATCCTTTGAGGATTAACTTAATGTGTATGGCCGCCTTTACAAATACAAGGCTGCTGTTTTTTGTTCCCTGGTTATAAGGGCCTTCATCCACTGCATGTTTCCTCAAGATAGGGATAGAGTTGAAGTTCATGAAAGTGTTAGCCATACTGTATGGTTATTCACCCACTCTTATTAGAGTGCCTATTCAACAGCATCGACAACCTAGAAACTGACTACAACAATGGGAAGGTGACTTGCTGGCTATTACATATATAACAAGAAAACAAAAGCCATATACAGAGAAATTACCAAGATGAACAACATTAAAATAACTTAAAGAAGAAGCCCTTCAACTTTCTCATTATTAAAAAATAGTAAAGACCTCCTTGAGGAAAAGTTCATATCAGGAGTGTACACCATACCACTAACTGACCCCATATTAGACCGTGTCTTGTCTGTGTTGTGGCCATCGTGAGGACTGTCGGGATAAGGATCAAAGAACAGTGCCAATATAATATCACAAAAAAAGCTTTTCAACGTGTCATTTGCTGTTTATGCAGAGGATGAAGGTGTACGTGGGCTTTGATAGAGCAAGATTATTGCATTAATCATCAAACCCCACATCTTAAATATCTGGAATGTGTGGAAATTACAGCATGGAGAGTATGGTATGGTTTGAGCTTGCAATGTAATAGTCGATTCTGCTTAATTGGGGAAGCTGTTTAATTAGGCCAAATCTCAAAGAATGGAAATCAAACTAATACATAATTTAAATGCTTAATTAGAACAACTTTTTACTTTATTGGGTGGGACAGTAGCAGAAAAGGAATTTAGCAATTTTTTATATACATAGTACTTTCAGAAGATTCCTAAAATATGTCAACACTACATACACTAATGTCTTGTAGGCTTGACAGTTGGTGGGAACAAAGCAATTTTGTCTTTTGCTTTGGCAGTTCAATTTTTCCAGAGGAGGGTCAGCATAGCAGGACATATCACATCGGGATCTCATCTGAGGTGGAGCTGAATGCAAGCTAATGACCCTGCTCTAGATTGGACTGGACAATCTCCTTAAAAACGAAGGGACAAAAATTCCCAGACAATTGTTCACGGTCTATTGACCAAGTTGGAAGACAGCTAGAGTTCCCTTGGAAGGTGTTGTGTGCATGATTATGTTTAGACTTGGACCACAGCCATCCAATTGTTGGGACCAGCATCTGGAGCTAGCAGATTATACAGATGCTCCTGCTGAAGTGGCCATCTCAAAGTAAAGGAAACTGTGCTCAAAGAAAGTCCATAATATGACTTTTGGAAGAACCAGACACGTTCTAACTAAAAAGGGAGAAAGGAAAGATGTGTAAAATATTAGTAATGACCCTTGTGTGCATCATTACTAATATTACATTAGCATAATGTGAATCAGTTATCTATTGTTGTGAGTCTGGCAAATTTATAGTACAAATATTTTCTGTATTTTGGTTTAATAAAGCATTAAAATAGGTACCTAATTATTATATTTTTATCTACTTATTTATTTACGTACATATTAATTATTTTATTTTACAATTTATTATTAGTATGTTTAATTGGGCCAAAATGGATTAGCCTCAACGTGTTCCAATTAAGCAGAATTGACTGTTCTTCATTTTAAATTGTTGCTTGTATAAGTTTTATAACCCAGCACAAAATATGATTCTTTTACAAAACACATTTCAATAAAGAACATAAACAATAGAAACTGAAATTGCTTTATATTTGGTGTGACCTATGCAAATTTTTTGTCAAGTAAAATTGTAATGTTCAATATCACTAATACACCACTCTATTACATTCTACAGCCACTTTCTAACTGAGACTATTGAAATAATGATAAGGAAGCATTATTATGAAAGATCCACATTAATAAATGCTATTAACATTTCACTATTGAAAAGTAAATAAAAGCCTTTACTTTTTTCAGCAAGAGTTATTAATGTAGTGACAAATGGTTTTGGCCCAATTCGTAGGCCAACATCGGGCCAATAACTTAAAATTGTATGTTTGATGTTTGGACTGCCTTTGCATCCCAAAATGAATTGTTAGTGATGTTTTTTCCAGTTTTGTTGTAATTTCACTCCTTGCATGTTTATCAAGAGCTATTCTTTATAATAAAGTTTCTTTGCTGAGTTGATTGTTAACATTTGGCATAATCACTAATTTTTTGCCCTATTTGTGCCATTTTCCAAGTATTGGTTATCTTGTTGAATCATTATTTTTGGTATTATAGAAAAGTATAGTCTCCATGACTATACATTACAGCATACAAATTTACTGAGAGAAAATACTTGTTTGGCACACTGGGGTCAAGTGGACAAAACTATTGAATACTGGTGCTTGTGTGACTAAAACCATTGAACACATGGTCCTGTGGATAAACTGACTGAGCCCGGGTTCCTGCCCATTAATAGCACATCAAGCTGGATTTGTGACTGGCCAATGGGCTGGCCATTAAGTTTTCTAGGTTTTGTGTGTTTAAGACTTGAATAGAGTCTTGTTTTCCCATAGAAGTCCTTCCAGGAAGCACTCTTGGCAGTTTCCTCTTTATTATAATGCATTATTCCAGCAAGTCAATAATTGTTGCTGTGGCAAAGCTGTAGTTTTTTTAAACCTCTGCCCTGTGGGTACTAAGAAGGTCTTTTATAGCAAGCCCACAATGGGGAGGCCAGATGGTGAGAGATGGAGCCCGACATATCTGGACAGGTCACCTCCAAAAAATTTCTGGCGAGTTTTCGACCCATCCTGATTCAGTTCCTGGTCTCTCAGAGTGATGGGCTGCCACCTTGACTACTTGGCCATCTGGGCTTAAAATGCTGTAGTTGAATGCAGTGGTGGACAGATAGATATGTCATAAACTGGCCTTTAAATATACTTACTTTGGTGCAAAGAACTACATTAATGGACAAAATTTTTTTTTTCAGGATTCTTCACCAGCACATGCAAAAGCTCTCTAAAGTCATTGCACCCACACACAAGGATCTGAGGATTCCCAAGGTGAGATCATCCATTAAGCAGTAAATTTGTTTCATAAGAACTAACAGAACTGGTATTAATTCATGCAGATTTACCATCATGAATGCCCATGGCCTTCTGCTCAAGCTGAAATTTACACCATCAATGCCTTCAAGGTAAGATGCATATTTTTTTTTGTCATACTATAAGTCTGATATAAATCTGACAGACGGATGGCCAATCCATTGATATTTTTTCATCTGTAGTCGTTAAAAGTGGCTTGACAGTCTTTGCTCTCCCTCTGTCAACTCTGGAGTTTCCTGGGCAGACAAAACAATGTCCTCCATAGATGATGGGCATTGTTGTGTCTAGTCTGGCACCATCTCTCCCTGCAATCACTAACAAAGTGTGTTTTGCTGATCAACAGACTCCCCGGGATAAGATCCAGTGTGTACTGAAATGCTGTAACACCATCATGAACTTATTGAGCATGGCTAGTGATGAATCGGTGCCGGCCGCCGATGATTTTGTTCCCGTGCTGGTCTTTGTCCTGATCAAGGCCAATCCCTCTTCACTGCTGTCCACCGTCCAGTATGTCGACACCTTCTATGCCCGCAGACTGGCCGGAGAAGATTCCTACTGGTGGACGCAGTTTTGTTCTGCTGTTGAGTTCATCAAAACCATGGACTACTAAACCAAAAGTCTTTGGGCAGGCTCCTTCCTTGGTGCCTTTGCTCCCAGCTCCAGATGCAAAAGACAAATAAGAAGAGACAGATCATCCCTTTCCAAGAGAAGAAAGTTTCAGTGGTCCTCCACTGTTTTATAAATAACGGTTAATTTCTGTATTTACAATAAAATATTCCTTCACTACTTTCTTCTCTTACTTTCCTTGACATCTCATTGGGAATGCTACCTTCTAGCCCTACTATTCCCAAAGTTGATGGAGCATATCTGGTCATGTCCTATCCTGTTGTTTTGCTAAACAGTGGCAGGGTAAAAGACTTTACAGCAATGTTTTGATCAGATGGGACAAATTGTAGACTCAGAAATATTTGGTAGGCCAAAAAAGGAAATAAGACACAAAGAAAAAAACAATGTACAGTGATACCTCGGTTTTCGTCGATAATATCCGAAACCGACGAAAACGGAGACATTATTTCCATACGAATCAATGTAAATACAATTAATTTGTTCTAGACACTCCAAAATACATACCAGAAACACATTTTATAGAGAATAAATAGTGTTTAATACTAAAAAAATAAGAAATTAATATAAAATGAGTATAAAAGACTAATATGGTGCCCATCGAAACAGGATTGCCATCTAACTGCTCTTGATTGGTCCAAATTAATAATAACTGTTCGGCATCTTCAATCGTTTGCGATCTGTTTCGTTAGCACATTCACTCCTTACGCTACATTAGCCTCCTTTATTGCTTCCTTTTTTTGCCACAATGGAACTTATCGTGTACTAGCCAGTGTTCCGCAACCTTTTTCTACTTGCGGCACACCAACATGTTAGTCCCCTCAAAAACGTATGATATGATACTATTAATAGAATTACGTAATGCCACTAACCTTTGTAATGTTATTAAACAGACATCAACACCTTTGAGCAAGTTTTTTTTTACATATAATTTTTTAGAATACATAAAAATGCTTGGCTTGTAATAAAAAAAAAATCATCTTATTTCATCAGTGCTGCGGCAGAGAATGAAATACAAGCATAAGAAACACAACAACTGTGATAAAAATATATAAATAAAACTTGACATTAACAGAATATGTAAAAGTTCACTTCACACCTTTCACCATCTGACGGCACACCGGTTGCGGAACACTGTACTAGCCGACTGGGGTGGAAATGTCAGGACAATCGAGAGATCAACACTGTCGTGCGGGAGTGAAATGATTCACTGAAGCAGACTTTCCGTCGTAAACCATTTAATAAATATAAAAATGTCTGTTACAGCAACTCCTTAAAAAGGCGTAACACCTGTCCAACGTTGGGAAACAAGTCCGTACAAAAAAGGTTCAACTGTTCTGACTCGTTTTTCTTCCGAGGATGAAGGTGTGAAGAGCGACGGCCCTGGGGCGCACAGCACGACTTGGAGAGATGTCTTCTTGCGACCAGGGGACCTATTCTAAGCTCTTCCGATAACTCAACGAGAGCGATACACAAGATATTCGATAAGTGCTCTTAGCGAAAGGCAGTTAACGAACCTTAAACAAATCGCTATTTTGTGCTCCATGTTAAGTGGATTTCGCTACGGGTAGTCGGTCGAGATGCTGGTTAATTTTATAGAAGACAACCCTAAATTAATGTGGGGGAAGTTAGACGCTTTCTTTATCGTAAAAGATCACCAGAAATTGTGGCAAGAAATAGCCGAGTCGGCTCACAAAAAGACCCAGAAAGATGGAGAAAAGTAACTGAGAGCTTAGAATATATATATGACATATGCGAATGAAACCTATTTCAGAAATAAAGTTCACGCTATAGCTACTTACTTTAAATTTTAACAAGAAAGCAATTACATTATTCATAAATAGTTAAGGTAATTATTTAATTATTCTTAAGCAATACAACAATATAGTTTACTAGCTGTTACTCGCGGCTTTGCCGGCGCGGATTTTGCAAGCAAACCTCATTTATATTCAGTATTTCAACAACCATAGTAATTGTTATATAACACCTACCGCTGAGAATGATGAGAATTGCCGAGAATCAAACGAACTATTTTTCAATTTGGTCAATTTTCTGGAACGTTTACAATTGTTCTATAATCGAATCAATATGCAATAACAAATTCGAATTTAAAACGGTTCGAACATTTTTTAAATCGAAATAGATAAAAATATTTATAACAATGTCTGAAATGTTATTAATTTAATACACCTAAGTACTCGATGAAGACTAAATCCTCTTCCTCTCCCCCCGCGGGGGAATTTCGAAAAATCCCTTTTTAGTGAGCGTTTCCGTGACGTACCGTAACTGCCTACCAAATTTCACCTCTAGGTTAAGCGGTCTGCTCTGGGCGATGATGAATCAGTGAGTGAGTCATTCAGTCAGGACAAGCAATTTTATATACAGTAGAGCGTCGATTTTCCGAATCAATTGGGACTGGGGTTGTCCGGATAAGTGATATTTCGGATAACTGATTTACGTACTAAAAAATAGTTTAACGTATCCGATGTCGAAATTTTTATCCGTTGCGTGTCGCTTCGCGTTGAATTTTCGTCGATGTTAAGCCTAACAAAGACTATTGTATCGTTAAAAAGTATTTTTTTTATTTTGTATAAACAAAATAAATATATTGAAAAATATAAAAATATTAAAAAATTATACTTCAGATGTTAATTTAGTATCAAAAACGTAAATATATTTGAGTAGCCCAAGACATAGCCAAAGATTGAAGTGCCACAGCACTAGCGAAAATTTAAATTTGCCGAATGGAATTCTTTCGGATGATTGACTTTCGGAAAATCGACGCTCTACTGTATTTAGATTAACTCTCTCTCCAATAGCTCGTGAAGTAAAATCGTTCTTACACCAAAAGACGCCATGTTGTTTACACTTTTCGTTACGTTCCTAGCGGCAGCTCGAGGGGTTTTTTAACTCTCAGCCCATTATGAGTTCGGCCACCCGGCGACCCCATTGTGGGCCCACAATGGGGCCGCCGGGTGGTGAGTAGAGTTGCCACCTTTTCAAAATCGCTGACCCGGAGGGCAGGTGAGGTTTATTCGAACAGAAGTTCCTGACGCATGCGCAATGTCATTTTGCAATGCGAAGAATAATTTGCAGTACATGTCGGTTCTAAATCAGTTACAGTTAGCGACTAGGGAGACTTGGATAGGAGTAACACAAGTGACCTAACTCTATTGGATATTGGAGGTGTATATGATTACGAATGAATAGTACAAGCAGAAAGCAGCACTGCGCCTATGCCAACGACTACCACATTAGTAATTCGGTACACGGGGGAAGAAATATATGCGACGGTTTGCATATAATTTTGTACATATTCATTTCAACTTGCACAACCCGGAGAAATATTAACCCTGGAGCCCGGAGATAACTCACTCAATCCCGGAGTCTCCGGGTCAAACCCGGACAGGTGGCAACCCTAGACTGGTGAGGGACGGAGTCCGACATATCCAAACGGACCATTCCCCGAAGAATTCCTGGGGATTTTTCGACCCGTTCGGATTAGAACCCAGGTCCCCCAGAGCGGTAGGCTGCCACCTTGGCCGCTGCAGCTCGAGGGTAATCGATAACGAAAGCTTAGTTATCGCACGTGGTTATCCGGACCGAAAACGAAACGTACGGCTCGGAATAGCATTTTCACAGTTGATTAAACGCGAATCACGTGGTTCCGATAGAAACTGGTTTTTATCCTATTCGTTAGCTTAACAATACTACTCAGAATAGGTCCCCAGGTGGACCAGGGCGAAACTTAACGGCACCGATGAGTGAAGACGTCCCCGGACGTCGAGCTTGAATGAACGTCTGGATTACAAGAATCCAGGAGGAGAACACTACGAAACAAGAACGTCGTGTCCTTGATTCGCGCAGTTTTATAAGTTTTTCCCCTAAAGCCGTCTTTTCATTGGTCTCTTCTGGTCACCTGGTGACAATTCGAAACCGATCGAAGGGCGCGGGAGAGGTCAGTTTTGCGACTAAATACGATTCCTCTCCAGTCACGTTTCTCTCGACTTTAATTTTTTCTATTGTTTTAATAAAAAACTTTTATTGTTCAATCAGGACAAAGAGGGTACGTTCGTAAAGTCGAACGAGTTAAACGCGTTAGTAACGAATCGTTCGAAAAGTAGTAGTCTCGCTTAATGCGCCTGCTCTGCGGTGATGACACGAAGGAAAGCGTTAGTTCACTTCGTTAAGAAAATGGCGCCCGATGATATCGATGTATTTAAACTGTGAATTAAAAGGTGAAATGATTGAAATAACTGTCCACTCGAAGCAATCTTAAGAAAAATATTTCGGATAAGGCTGCACTAGCAACATTCGTATCTTCGATTTTAGAAACAGCCATTTAGTTATAAACGAAATAAGAATAACGATGACGTCATTCTCGTGTAACTCGTTCGACTTTACGAACGTACCCTAAATCTCCCTATTCGTGTCTGAAAATGGAGTTGTTCATTTCTTGATAGAGTGGTCACCTTCGGACCTTCAAAGCGGCTTCCATCTGGTACTCGCACAGGATCGATTTCTCAGCACCCGAAATAATTACGAAAAAATTGTTTTCCTAGGCAAAGTTATAAGAATTTCTTTAAAGAGGTTGCCGAAATATAAGCATTCGAAATGTGTAAAAATCGCCAAAAAAAAGAGGTCTCTTCTTGTTCATCCGGCACTGCGCAGACACTTGTAGAGAAAAAACTGCCGGGTCTAGAAGGCTCAAATTTTAAACGTAAGCCTTTCTCGTTACCTGTGAGGTGCCCGCCTAACTTCCGGGTCGATAGGTCAAAGTTTACGGGGATTTCTCGTACATCTAATTCAGTTTTACGGCTTGATTTTATGCTGATTTGGATACGATTTCCGAAACGCCGTTCTAAGTGTCCGACTGTCAACCGAGACTGGCACCGTTAATTTCCATTGGTCGTTGGCTGGCACGTGGTGTGGATTCGTTAGGCTACGTCGTACAGTACGTGGCAGCGTCCAGCGATCGCCAAGTGGGGGACAAACGGACAAGCAAATGTGGGCATTTGCAGTAACCGCGTTTAACGTGCATCGACTAGCAGATGACGCTTATACACGCCTGCAGGAAGCAGCTAACAACGAAAAAAATGGCTGATTTTGTAAATGAATGACAAAATAAACAAATTGTATGTATGCTGTATGTCCAGTACTTTAATTAATAATCTACGTAATTTAATCATTTCTGATTTTGTAAAACGTAACGTTTTACAAATGAAACTTTTTTTATCTTATTATTCTAAGATTCTTTATATTTGTTAGTGATAATAATTACCTGTCGAATTTACCGTTTTAATGCTTGTCATATTTTCCGTAGCAAGTATTCGACCAAGTCGTCTCACCGCCATTTTGTAAATAATACGAGTCGCTCGCGCGTACAAAGATTTTTTTGCCCGCGGTCGCCACGTAGGACATAGCCTAAGGCGGCGACTGAAGGTAAAACACTCGTTTTTCACCAATGCTTGTTATAGAAAAGATGACAAGCATTAAAAACGTTAAATTTTTAAGATAGATGCACAACAAATATAAAGAATCTTCATAGAATAAGTTTTAAAAAAGTTTTATTTCTAAAATGTTGCATTTACAAAATCAGAAATTATTAAAATATATACATGTATATACAATTTATCAGTGGCATGCCGTGACATTTGATGATAGGAAAGCTGTTTCTGTAAGAAGCCGACTTCCAGGGGCAAGCAGTTAATTGCGCGTCAGTGAGGGTCTAGGGTCCATTCGTATTCGTTTGTTCGTTAATTAACCGGTTGAAGACTGGTGATCAACTCATTGATTAGTGACCACTCGTCAGAAGAGAATTTAGTGTCTGAGCCAGTGTCTATTGAGGCTTTATCAATGCAAACTTTTACACTGTAGAAACGTTCCAGCATGTTGAGGAGACTGTTCCACCTAGTGCGGCAGTCAAGAATGAAGCTCAGTTCTTTGCCCTTCGCTTCTTTTACATATTTTTGCAAAAACATATCATCTTTGGTTGGTGATTTTTTAAAAGTCTTAACAACTTTTCGCACTCTTTTAAGAAGTTCACTGTATCGCGGAATCACGTCCGGTTCAGTCGGTGTCGGTTCAATGACTATTTCTAAGCCTTCATTGGTCTCAGTGTCTTCGTCATCATATTCATCACTTTCATCTATCTCTGTGTGTTCTACTTCTTTTTTATCTTTCTTTTTATACAAATCGTCTACCACAGCTAACTGGATTCCATGTGCAAAGCACAGTTGCTGATAGCAAGGCAAGAGTCTACCAACTTTCACCATAAAGCTTGTGCCATCAGTAGTGATACCAATGGTGTCGGTTTCAAAGTTTAAACCAAATGTTTTCAACCGTTCTGATACTAATTCAATGCAATGTTCGGCAGTGCAGGATCCACGAATTCTGATCAAGCCAAGATTAAAATGAGTCTCTTTATGGTGCACGTTGAGATTTATGTATCTATGATTTTTTTGTGATGTCCACTCATCAAAGCTTAACGAAAATCTTTGACCCTTTTCTTTTAAATTTGCGAATTTTTTTATTAAATCCGCTTCGATAGTTTTAGCATAATTGGTAATCATTGACCTTATGGTGTTGGGAGAAGTTGGCAATTGGAATCCATTTCTTGCGAACAAACATCTTAAATCGGAAGATGTACAAAATGAACTCAGTGTAAAACCATCTTTGCACACCATCCTTGTAACCATGGCTTCCATCGAATTTTCTTTTACGAAATAGGCATTAATACTCTTCTTAGCCTTTTTGTTTAGTATAATACCTACTTCCTGATCATCGACATTTTTTGATGTAGATGCTATTGCTGTGGGAACTATATCTGTATTACCAAGTGGTAATTTGCTGTTTGCAGAATTAACGTTGACGCAGTGTATCTTTTGTAATGGCCTTTTAAGCCTGTCGTTGAACGGTTACTAATCAGCAAAGTTTTTGAACATAATAAGCACTTTGCACTTCGACTATTATCCAATTTTTTTAAATAGTCCCACTAGTTTTTTTTTATCATCATTCTCACCACATTTCTCTTGCTGACTTGGCTTTGTAAAAGACATTATTCAGTACGAATTCGAATTTTAGTTATATTATTATTATGTAACTGTGAACTGACTGAACTGGCTTGATATCTGAAAAAATAAATTTAAAAATTTTGATTTATAAACATACATACTACATACCTAATAAATTTTATCGCCAAGGAGCTGAAGCAGCACTAAACTAACCAAGTTTTATCCAAATCGTTAGAGCCGTTTTTGTGGTAAATAATTCAATTTTCATTTAAGATCATGTAGCTTGTCACAAACGCCCCCTGACATTTTTTTAGTCGCAATTTTTCCGAAATTTTTCAAAAAATTTAAAAAAATTCAAATTCTCTAATTTCTTCGAGCTGCGAAAAATGCAATAAATAACGTTTTTATTGCGCACCGAGTTTATTCAGGAAAAAAAGTCAAAAAAGTGCTGGTCTCTCGCAGCTGAAGCGGCGTTCCGTCACGTGATTCATTGACGTCACAACCGACCGTAAATTAGAATTATGCACCAGGACTAAAAGAGGAGTTACTTATTTTATTTAGCGCAAGACACTTTATTTAACGAGAGCGAAAAGTCAACTGTCAATTAGATCAGCAGAGGTAAAAGGACGGGTGGTGCGGTGTAGAGAGAGAGTGTAGCACGTGCTGCACTGAATGGCAAGTCGCCCTCGCCGCCGAGTGATAGCGCACTTAGCAAAGCGGCAACGCTGACAACGTAGACTTTTGCATCATTGTTTAGAAAGTTAATTGAGTATTTGCGGATCCGCAGCGCTGGATCCAGCAGGCCGAAGAATGCGCTGGATCCAGCAGGCCGAAGAATGCGCTGGATCCAGCTGGATTGCTGGATGAGGGATCCAGCAATTGCAATCCCTAGTTACCATCCATCCGGATAGTCCGGGAATCGACTCGCCGTGGATATCGTGCGCAACTTGATGACCTTTTTTTTCTGCTTGTACGATTTATTCGTATATATTAATATGTTACTGCTAAAGCTCGAAATCCGTTAATGTGTACATTGCCTAGCTAATCTACAGATTAACTAGGGTGATCCGTTAATTAAAGCTGCGAAAATTGTTCAATTTCTCAAATTACCTAGGTAATTTGCAGCGTATCTAGGTAATCTGCACATTAACGGCTTCCGTATCGTTAAAGTTCAAAAGTTTGTTTCTTTCACTTCCTTTCCCCACTCCTTCTTTTTACGTAGATAAATTTAAATCNAAGTTAATAAAATAATTTGACTTTTATATAAAAATTTGAAAACATATTTTCTAATTGCAGCTTTAAAATAATGAGAAGTTAAATCTGTAAGTTACAAATTGTGACGAATCACTTCGCATCTTGAAAATTAACACTAAACCACAAATCTTCATAACTTTTAAATTACATATCACATTTTTTATACCATTTAAATCAGATAATTAGTACTACTATATATTTATTATTTGAATATGGAAAAAACTACAATAAATTTACAGCTGATAGTTACTTTTTATCTTTATCTACTGTTCATAAATTGTTTCACAAAATTTTCAAAAATAATTTGCGCAAAAATTTTTGTTTACAACATATAATAAATAACAAATGTATGCAAAATTTTCCAAAACTGCTGATAAAAAGTACTATTGTATTGCAGTGGCGTCCCGTGACATTTGGTGGTAGAGAAGCTGTGTTTCTATGAAAAGCCGACTTCCAGGGGCAATCAGTCAGCGATGGTCTAGGGTCCATTCGTATTCGTTTGTTCGATAAGCCAGTAAAAACCGTAGACTTCTCTAAATGTATTTTTAATTAATAGATTATCTAACGCACTTAATAAATAAGCAAATTCAATATAATTAACTCTCTTATATTAGATTTAATAGATTCTATACGCTTTCTAAATGACAATTCTCGCTTCGATAACATCTACTAATTAAAATATATCTATTAGCCGTAACTATCTCTTTATAATTTTCAATACTTATTTTATATCGTGTACTAATGTTAAATTCTATTTTATTTTGATTTTCAAATTGATTCAATTTCACGAAAGAATCGATGCGAGATTTAGGATTTTCGTGTGTTTTGCCAGCTTTACTCAAATTATTTAAATCGTCAAAGCCAATCTCATTCTACACACTAATTTTATTTGAAAATAGTAGGCAAGGCCAACAAAACAAATTTTGCATTTTTATGCATCCACAAAGCCATTTTATATCTTCATAAATTTTATCATGAAAATGTCGAACAAATTTTTTCTTTTTCATTATATGGTCTCGAGCCAAAACTTTTTGAAATAAATTTTCGATATCACAATTACATTCTAAATTGCTAGCTATAATATAAGGGCTAAAATTAAAAATAAAATTATAAAAACTTACTTGTTAAAATAAAATGTGTGATG